AAGCACTGTGCCCGGCTAATTCACGGTATACCCAATACTTTGAGCCAAACGTCTCATGATGCTGTCACACCACTAGGGATGGTTTAAAACAAAAGAAAAGGAGAAACAAATCAAAATAAGGTCTCATCATAAGGCAGGCAATTATCGAAGTCATCGAAGTGTAGGAATGGGGCCCCAGGATCCATGGGCGCACCACACCTGTAGCAGAAGTCCTGCATGCAAATGCATTGCATGTGGTCACATCCGACGGTTTTCTGCAAATAATAAGCCGTGAAAGTAAGAACCTGTCCCGGTAACAACTGCTTCAAGTGCTGAATGAAAATGTACTTACAGTCACAGCCATGAAGCAGCTGGGGCAACACTGATGCTGATGTACCATGACATCCTGGTACTCCCAGGCCTCCTTCACTTTGAAGAGCTCCTCCTCATCATACTTCTTCATAATTGCCTCATAAAAGCCGGGATCGGTTTCTTTATTATCTTGAGCGAAGAACAGCTCCTGACCCTTCTTTACAAGGCACCCTAGAAAGGAAACAGACAAGTCTTCAGACATGCTGATAAATTTCAGATACCAGCAGCACAGTGGTTGGGGATATACCAGCAAGAACCAACGTTATACTTACATTGGCTTTCAGGAAGATCAATGTCGAGGCACTTTTCGCACCAGCACTTGTCACAGTACCGGCAAAGTGTTATACCTTTGTCTTCGACAAACCTTTTAGGGAAAGGCGTGCCGTGACAGAAGGGGCATTCAAATCGCTCATGAACAGAGTGGACAATGGCCAGATTTTGAATGACCAGGAGCCTTTCCACCTTCTGAATAAGGGTTGGCCTCCCCTTGAGGAAGTTCAGCAGACCATCATACCTCATGCGCACAAAACAGTTCTCCACAACACACAAAGGGAACTTGTCAGCTAAAGGGTCTAAAGACCGCAGCCAAACGAGCATGCACTTGTAGCACACTGAGTGGTTTGGAGGACAACCCGCTGGCCGAAAGCATCGAGTTGGTAGAACAACCTACAAAGAAATGCAACAAATAAGATTTAAAGGAATAAAGAAATTGAAATTGCTAAACATGCATAGGATACTCACATCTTCACATGAGGTATTTAACAGGCATTCAGAGGGGCCTTGGCCTGCGATTGAGTTCTTCAACTTCTCTTCTCTGTCAAACTCTCTGATTACCAGAGTGATATCTGCAGTCCCAGAAAACTTGAACGCAGTCTTCATGACGAGGTTTCTGTCCTTCCTCCTCATCCGGCCTGCTGCATCTTCAGTCGGCTTGCGTCGGATGATGAGTCGGTTGGCACCAAAATCCCTCCATGTGATGTCGAGCTCATCATTCAATTTCAGAAGTTGAAGAACGTTGCCAGCAAATGAACCAAGAAGGTATTCGATGTTGACTTCAAGCGACGAGTCTTTGACCCAATTGTTGTCGATTTCCACACAAAGCTTGCGCAACTGTTCAAAGATACAAAAACAGATTATTAACAGTGTGCAACATGAAAGCATTAGGCAAACGTTAAATGAAACGCTGAACGGCACTGGCAAACGCCTTATAGTACAATAACTCACCTGCCGAAAAGTCAGCCAGTTGCAGGCCACGTGTGCTTCAAACTGGAAACCTTCTTGGCTAGATGGCACCAGAGAGACCTCGATCGGAGGGAGAAAATCGACGGACAAGCTGCCCCGTACATTATTCTTCAAAAACTTGACCCTAAAACCCTCAGGGATTGGAACTCGGACAAAGATGTCGATAACGTTGCCATGAGGCAACACCTCACGACTAGAAAATTCTCGAAGAAGAACGTCCGCTCCCGCTGCTGTAGTGGCAGAGGGTGGAGGCGCAGCTGCCATCTCTTCGTGCAACGTGATACAGGAACAGATACAGGAACAAAGAACAAAGGCACAAGAACAAAGAGAAAGCTTTAGAGCGGGCACAAGTGTACACTGGCAGGACGGAGCGACGAAGTAGCAAGACGGCAAGACAGCGACGGTGTGTTTCACAATAGGTTAGGAACGTGCAACGTGCAACGTGCTCGCCGTGTACCTACTCCAGACGCCGCTAGGGGCGATGCTAGCGCGTCATGATTGGGCAGGTGGCCGCAACCGCACCGACTAGGGAGGGGGGTCCTGGGGAGGGGAGGGGAGAGGATGGGGGGGTCGAAACGAACTAGTATACGAATTACGATTTGCCCGACAGAAATGTCCAAGAAATATCACGTCACAGGGGGGGGGGGGGGGAGGATCCTTGCAAATGTTTCTCTTGAAATTCCCAACGAGGTTTTGCTTACTAACAGCCTTTCCTCGAAGGGCTTTACCTTTGACATTACCTTCCTCTCCCTCCTTGCCAACTGTACGGGGAAGACCAAAGTCCCTCTGTGTGTGTAAACACCAGTCACGATTCGAGTCGGTTTAAACTAAACCGACTACAGAGACGAGGACAGGGTAAGGACGACGTCCACGACGTCGTCGTCGGCCGCGGCCAACGAGGGCGAGTACAATAACAGCTCCACTTCGCCCATATGGGCTTGGCCTCGCGGAGGAGCCTTCCGTTGTGGCCAGCTCTGCGGCCGGATCTGTATACTTGGGTCTAGTCTGGGTGATGAGCTTCAGAAGGGCGCGGAGGGACCCACAATATTGGGTCCCTCGAGGCGCCTCCGCCCCTCCCTCCAACGTGCGCTCCATGAAGAAGATTCGCGGCGACGTGGTGAGTTTCACTGTTTGTTTACGTTTCCATAAAGGCGCTTCTGCCCAGTAACGATAATACCTACTCACCAAGTAGGTCATTATTTGCAAATGGGTGAGCTGTCAGTGTTTTATCATATATCATAGATTTTACTTTATATTATTCTCGTGGAACGCCGATCGTATCACCGGTTTACACTGCTTTTTTACGTTTCCTGGGGTAGACAAGACAATCCCGCCTCGCTTCTCCAGGATATGATCCTTTGCGGATGCCTCCCATACCGTGCATCGTTGTGTGGCTCCAGGGGCCAACGCCAGGGAAGTGCTGTGGATGTGACAATAATGAAATGATCATGAAAATAAACTATGATATGCTGTCACACCACTAGGGATGGTTCAGGATCAAGTCAATTTAAAACAAAAGAAAATGACAAACATACCAAAATAAACTTTCATCACAAAGTTT